CCAAACAAGCCGTTTCCCAGCACGAGAGACATCAGGAGCCAGCTACCCCGGCCGACCTCAGTTAATTAGAAAACAAAGCGAAAGGCACCACAACAGCATAGTCGGCCAAAGCACATTAATTGGTACAGCACCGGCACACGCACCACAGCACCCGGCGCCCTGCAGGCCCCCCCCGGGACCCCGCCCACGCCCAAGGTGGGAAAGAGGACGAGGAAGATGGACCAGCCCGAGGAAAGAAAGGAGCGAAACAAACACGTATGGGAGCTTTTAGAGATGTTGTAGGTCCTCATCTGCCCGCGTCCACCCATACCGCGCTGGTGTCCATGTTAAAGTCCCAGTTCTCGTAACAGGAGTCGTCGTTTGCGACACAACCTGGGTTGCGGCTGCAGGTCTGCTCTCCATCGGTCAGGAGTAGCATGACCTTCGTGACACTTGAACGGCCAGTAGCGAGCAGCTGCTCTCCCATGAGGAGCCCGTTGGAGATGAAGGTCCATCCCCATTACCGCCGGTTCTTCAATGGCAGACGCGAGGGTGCTAGCGCTGAAGGTGAGGTCGCTGAGCTTGGTCGTGTCGGAGGCAAACTGTACCAGCCCCACGTTACTCGTTAGCGATGCGGCTGCGGGTTCACACACAGCTCGGGAACTCCTCGCTGCTGCGTAACTCCTCAAAGTAACGTAAGTCCGAGGCGGTCGAGCGCCGCCGCCTGGCTGGCATGCAGCGCGCCACTCGCGTGGCTCTGCGCACCCTAGAATGAGTGAGAGATAGGAAGAGGCAGACGCCCGAGGGGGGCGATGGCTAGCACCACACTCACTCCTTCCCTTCCCTGTGTGGGTGTGTGGTTGGTGGCGGCGTGCGTGCCGTCCTCCCATCCCTCCCGCTTTTCTGTTTTCTTTCTTGTGTGCCTGTGATAGTGCTAGCACGCGCCAGTTCGCACCTGTGTCGAGCCTGTCTGCTGAAAGAAAGAAAGAAAACGGACAACCCAAGGGAGGGATGGGAGGACGGCACGCCGCCACCACACAGGGATTTTAAGGAGAGGCAGGCTGTGAGAGAGAGTTGGGGTGTTTAAATTCTTCTTTCCTTTGAGCAGGACGCACACACGGAATTTTACGGCCGGCGGGCCCGGCGCTGCCGCCTTTGCGGCCGCCGTCGGATTCAGACGGACGGACGGCTGCGAAATGCCGGTGCAGGTCAGCCTAATCGTGCCGCAGGGCAGGACCGCGGGTCAGCAGATCAGCTTCGTCCACACCGACGGGCGGAACGTCTCGCTCATCCTCCCCAACGGCGTCGTCCCCGGGCAGACGCTGCACGTCAACGTGCCGGACGCGCCGCCTGACACAGGGTCGCACGGAATGTTTAACCCGTACGGCGGCTTCGGAGGCGGCTTCGGCGGCGGCGGCGGCTTCGGCGGCGGCAGCTTCGGCGAGGATAGCGAGGATGAGGAGGACGACTTCAATGGTGATGATCGGCGGCGCGCCGCAGCACTGAGCCAGAAGCTGCCGCCAAACTACGCAATCCGCGAGGTGAGCGGAAACCATCGCAAGCCGTGCTCTGAGTGCGGGACGAGCGATTTCTACCCAGGCAGCTTCTACATCTACGACCACGTGACCCCGTGGGGCTCGGACAAGTACTGCCTCGATTGCGCCGAGATGCAATTTGCCTTCGGCTCAGAGGATGACGACGACGACGAAGAGGAGGACGTCACGACGCCGCCTCTCGTGCGGCACGCGGACGGCAACACCTACGATGCTTCCGGCTGGCAATCGTGGCCGCCGGTGGAATCCGGCGATTGGGGCCTCGTGTACGTTGCGCGCGGCCACCTCCGCGGCCGTTTCGTTTACTACGACGACGAGGAGGACGAGGACGAGGCGATTGTCTACGTCGGGCGCCCGCTCACGAGCGACGCCTTCACCGTGCGTCTGAGCTCGCTGCGCCAGCCGCCATTTGCGGGCGCGCTTCGCTCGGGCCAGGGCGCCCACGACGGTGCCGATGAGCCCGCACCTGCGCCGGCACCGGCACCAGAACCGGCGGTGCCGCCGGCACCGGCACCGGCACCGGCCGCCCGTCGGACTCGTGTCGGCGAACAGGCTGCCGAGCCCGCGCCCGCGAGCTCCGGTCGGCCAAAGCGAGGCTCGACGGCGGCAGCCTCGGCCGCGCAAAGCCCGAAGAAGCGCGGACGGCGCGCGTGAGCCTGCGAAACGGCTCGGCCCGCTCGGCGAAAGCCGACACCAAACGGCAGAGATGATGAATTTCTTTTCGCGGAGAGAGGATAGACAGGTTGCCACAGTGTTTCCTCTCATTAGTTCTCAACTTTGCGTCAGCACGCCCTCGACCAGTACGGCGAGGAGCAGCTCTCTCTCTCTCGCCGTTCGATTCCTGCGCGCCCCCACCGCATGCGCACAATCCGTCTCAGGCGCGCCCGTCTCAATCGGCTGAGCTGCGCGCGAGCAGTGCACAGACAGACGCGCGCAGTGTTGAATATTTACCGGTATGGGAGTTTTTGGCTAATCAAACCCTATAGCGCCTAGAGGCCTGAACTAATCAAAAAGTGGTACGGGATACCAGTTGCCTCACGGAAATCAAAGCGAGTCGGAGTGCCTTCTTGGTGGCAAAATCGGCAAAATCGGCTGCGCAAAATACCGGGTATTTTGCGGGTATACCTGGAAAAACCCGGGTATACCCGGGTAATACCCGCACTTTTGCATGGTTTCGCCCCCGGGACCACACGACCGACAGCCGCTACAACTAATGAAAACCCCGCATACCACTTTCGCGTACCACTATACCATACCACTCCAAAACTAATCAAAATATCACCAAATACCGGTCTCATACCGGTAAATATTCAACACTGGACGCGCGCACGGCGTCTCGATCACTTTAGGCTAGTGCCATTTCACTGTGGCACAGCTCGCGTTACAAAACCTTGATTTGACCATTGCGCGAAAAAGGTACATCTCGGTGCCTTCCAGAGGCAGCT